TTTTTTTTTAAATCCACCAATAAATCTTAAAATACAAGACCATAAAATGTATTAATAAAGTAAATTGAGTCGTTTTCATTTAATGTTGAGTTTCCATTACCCTGGAAATGATGAATTACCGCAGCAACAACATTTGATCCACAATATTGATTTTTTTCACATCTCATTTCTACCAATGTATCTGTTCTTGTTTGTTTCCCCAACAGGTTTAGGTTACGTGCCATATGATATTCCTAAAGACACACTGCTGTTGGACCTGCAGAGCAACAGGATCACAGAGATCAGGGAGGGAGACTTTAAAGGAATGAGCAACCTCTATGTGAGCCCTAACATATCGTTATTTCATCATTTGTATCACAATCACATTTGCTCTCTTTTTGTAAATGAATTTAGAAATGCAATATTGTCCTTTATGTTAATAAAAGTTTGTACAGCATTCCCTCATAGTCCTTGTCCCATTTCAGGCCCTGGTGTTAAGATATAACCAGATCTCCAAAGTTCATCCCAAGGCATTCCTTCCTTTGAAGCGTTTGCAGAAATTATACATCTCCCACAACCTTTTGACTTCCATCCCCAAAAACCTGCCTCCATCCCTTGTGGAGCTGCGTATCCATGACAATCACATCAAGAAAGTGCCGGCATTTAGCTTCTCAGGCCTCCACAACATGCATGTCATTGGTAAGACTGTGTGTTTGATTCATGATGTCTAACAGACCTTTGTCAGGTAAGATGCCAAATTTAATTCATCACGGATGAGGGATAGAGTTATTACAATGGCATACACTGTATCACGTTATTTTCACAGCTCACAACCTTCAAAACTGTTTTGTGGAGTTTTTGTCTACCGAAAGTTTTTTTCTTTTTCTTCAAAAAGACATTTTGTCAGCTGAACAGTAGTACAATCCATTGAACACAATATGTATTTCTATCCCCCCACAGCCTCATCATTCCTGTCAGAAATTAAATATGGCACTAACCTGACTAAGGTCTATAGTTACTCGCTGAGGTTATAGTCCTGTAATGTTGCTTTCTGACAATATTCACTGATAAAATTTGCTATATAAATAAAACTAAAGACTTGATTTGTGCCTCAAACATTGGTTGATATTGCAGAAATGGGTCGTAATCCACTTCAGAACAGTGGTTTCGAACCTGGAGCATTTATGGGCCTTAAACTGAACTACTTGCGCATTTCTGAAGCCAAACTCACCGGAATTCCCAAAGGTAATATGAATAATGGTCAAAATTGAATATAAATTTAATTGACTTAATATACTGCCAATCTCTTTGGCATCTTTTTCATATTTTAATTAGTAACACAGAATAGGGGTGTACTTGTGTTACAGAGTACAAAATTCTTTTCTACATGGAATGTGTCCCATTCTTTTCTAAACACAATGCAACTCATTCTGTTCCATATGGAATGTGTCTCCTTCTTATCAGACCTTCCCAGTAGTCTCAATGAGCTTCATTTGGACAGTAATCAGATTCAGGCCATTGAGTTTGTGGATCTCAGCCAGTACACCCAGCTGCAGAGGTAAACCCTACACATCCCAACTTTTTTGGGTGTGATTAATATATGTAAACAGACTGTATTTGTTTCTAAAGTGATATTAAATGAAACATTTCCCTTCAGTTGATCTTCTTACATGGACGTATGATATAAAGTTTGCTTTGGGTGTCCTCTAGTGGCTAAAACCCCTCTGTCTCTGTGTTTAGGTTGGGACTCGGCAGTAACCAGATTCGCCACATTGAGCACGGTGCTTTATCTTACCTCACCAACCTGAGAGAGCTGCACCTTGACAACAACCGTCTGTCCGGTGTGCCCAGCGGACTGCCTCATCTGAAGTATCTGCAGGTGTGCTTGTGTAGGCCTACATGATTCTACTCATTCTAGTTCATTTATACTAAATAAACTAAACCACACTTTCATTACAGGTTGTCTACCTCCATTCAAACAACATCACTAATGTTGGAGTGGATGACTTCTGCCCTACGGGTTTCGGAGTGAAGAGGGTGTTCTACAATGGCATCAGCCTCTTTGACAACCCAATCAGGTATTGGGAGGTGCAGCCCGCTACATTCCGCTGTGTCAGTGACCAAATGGCTGTACAGTTTGGCAACCACAAGAAATGAAAAAAAAAAAATGCACAAAGCCAATCCAGGAGAGCAAGAGGAAAATGCCCATAATTTGTGTAAATCGAGATATTTGAGTGAAGAAGATGAATAAACATTTTCATGGAGGCATAATTCAGAAGAAACATGGACTCCATTTAAACGGAAGTCAAACCGGTCTATTGAAAACTGAATATTGATGTGTGTAATTCCCTGCTGACATTAATGAATATATACTTTAATTTAGTTGACATACAGCATTGATGATTCCTTGAGATGTCTATCAACAGCTTCATTTGCTTCGTTTTCATGGGTTGCATCTTTAAATATTGAGATAAATTCACAGTTTGTCATTCTGGACGGCTGATTGTCACTCATTCATCATGGTAATACTGTAATAAAGTGGATTGTGTTGTGGATGTTCATCATGCCATCACAAGACAGCCAACATTAAAGGTGACAGGCTATTTATTTCTAACTTTAAAGTCAAGCTCCCAAATGCATTCAGTGGAATTAACAATAACCTTCCAGGGGTGGCAGGAGATGTGAAGGTGGAGTACCTAAAACCCTGAAAGGAGAATGTCTTCACAAACAAGTCCTTCTGCTGGTTGTAGGCATGACCACGCCTACAAGGCTTGGCAGAGTCATTTAAATCCTTTTGCGTATAGTTTCTGCCCTTAACGACTAAACAACACGAGAGATGGACTACAAAGAACAGGTACGTTTACAAATATTTACAGAATTAACTCGATGCAGACAGAAATTAATATTTCAATACTAGCCTATAAACAGTCTGTATTATTTCATGGCACGTTAAAAACGGTTGGATTTTTCAAATCAAGACTGCACATTCGAACGAGGTTCTATTAGAAATATCATAGAATGTGTTCTATTTCATTACTAGTTTATTAGAATAGTGTTTTATAACAGGCCTATAGGATTCGCTATCAACCGAGAAGCATTACTTTGTTAGAAAAGTGATTATCAATCGGTTATAAGTAATGTCCTTAAAGAATGCAGCCGTCATATGTTGTCAAACTTGTTCTAAAACCTGTAACAGCTGTAAACGGGTGTAATCTTGACAGACTAAAACTGTCATGCACAGGTTGAGCAGGTTGTATCCACCGCGCAATTCGGAGATTTGGTCGAGTTCTCGTACCCCATTGGCTACGCACACTGGGGCGTGTACGACGGAGATGGATATGTCATTCACTTTGCGGTTGCCGGTAAGCAGGAGAACTTATATTTACTTTGATATAATCATGCTATACTTATACAACACAATAATATAGACTACTGTACAAGTGAGATTACATTGTGAGAACTTACCCCAATATAAGGGCATGTTGCCACAAAATGTTAACATCTGATCTTTTATTTATTTTGTTTGTTTTGTTAGTTAAATGCCTTTTCACAAGTGTAAAATT